ATGCACGTCATTTGGATTATCAATCGGCATAAACCACCTCTCTCATTCCGATTACAAATCATTTGTATCGTATTGGTGGAAATGCCATTGGTGGGTTAGGGGTTAGGTTTAATTAATGGAAGTCAAGGCATACTCCCATAACTAAAAGAAGGAAGGAAGGAGGGAGGAAAGAAGGAAGGAAGAAAGCTAGGAGGGAGAGAGGAAAGAAGCAGATAGATTATACAGTAATGCTAAAATAAATTCTGTGATTGGAAGGAGATGGCCCTGTGATGGACTTGTGACCTGTCCAGGGTGTACCCACCCCTCGCACTGTGTCTGCTGGATCTGAGCACCAGTGACCCCCATGATCCTGAAAGGAAGAAGCGGGTTTAGATGATGGATGGATGGATGGATGGATGGATGGATGGATGGATGGAAGGACATGATAAAAGAATCACTAAATTTATGATTTACCATTTTAAAGATAATGGTTGCAGAGTTCAGGGTCTGAGCCTAGATCTTGCATTAGAAGCATAAACTACTCAGATATCACGTTTTGTTTTAGTGTTGTCAATGTAGAACAGGTCTAATTGCATTACATGTTATATAACTCTTTTAAAAACATAATTGAAAACAGAAACAGAAATGGTCCTGTGGAAACTGGAGCAGCATAACCTGCCTCTTTCACTCCAGGACCAACCTCATGTGACCAACAACAGGCTGATTGGACCCCACAGAACAAAGAAAGCAAAGCGTGACACAGCTGTGACAGTATACACACAACATATTTGTGAGCTTGTTTATTGTACTAACATAGGGCACAGAACATCGTGTTTCCAAGAAGAACCGGGTAGGAGGGTTTAGTGTGGGTTAAATTTAGGGGGGTGAAGGGAGGCAAGTGATGAGGAAGGGTTCATGCAACATGTGAAACACACATCACAATACTGATAAGCATCAAGGCTGTTATATAAGAGCCACAAGTCCTTTGTTTCGTTCGGGAACACACGGGCAATCACCCCTGACAGCCTGTGTGTGTGTGTGTGTGTGTGTGTGTGTGTGTGTGTGTGTGTGTGTGTGTGTGTGTGTGTGT